TGTTATCAGCAGTCTTCACCACTGATTATCACTTCCACGTACTCATATTCCCCTGTTTTTATCTCACAAACAACCATTCCATGGTAGAATTTGAACCCAACCACGCAGAAATCTATTTTAGTAATTCGTAAGGTTTTGATTCGAAAGAGCAGAATCTGGAGTAGGCGAAACAAATCTGAGGGTCGAAGTTATGACATAAAGAGGCATAAGGGTACGAATGTTGCATCAGTGACTGAGTCTGCTGCTTATTGCCGGTGAATGGGTCCCCGGAGTCGGATTAAGGGACCACTGAAGGAAGTTAATGGTGGAATGTCGGGATGGTGTGGGATTCTATGGTATTTGTAAGATCAATATTGTCGCAATCGCAATCGCAATAAACCCATGAGACATCAAACTCGACAACTTTTGATTCCATCAAATTCAAACCCTAATCATATAAAATAAGAGATTTGTAAGGAATTAAAAACAAAATCCACAACGAAAATGTACAAAATACCCTTCCCTAGAGTGGCTTATCCTATGAGAAAGCGTCCTGTGAGAAAGCATCTAATAACAATGACCAAAACAGAATTCGATTAAATTGAGTCTCAATACCCCCAAAAAGAATATAATTAAAGAAGCCATGATCAAAATCGATGGATATTTTACGACGTTTTTGTCTCTCCCTAGCTTTATGGTTTTGGAACCAATAGAAAACGTTCTTGCTCTCGATCTTGCCGTAAAAACTTAGCTACGTTGAGATTTTCTGGATCTGATCAGTGGTCGGAGTTCTAAACAGATCCGTCAATACTTTCAATTTCTCCACCGTTGGATTACTTCGTCCCCGTCCCTCCTCCTCCGTTGTTGTTGCCACGTAAACTCCGACTTTTGACTGAGAATCCTCCTCAAGACATGATTAGCTTTTTGAGGTGTAATAATCCCACCACAAATGATGAGATATTTATTTGATTTATTGATTACGAAAGAGAAATCAAAAGGTCAAGAATGAAGATGTGGATTCGTTTAGGAAGAAAAAGACGATGAGGCGCGAGTGATTTTAGTATTTTTGTCTTTCTATTGAAAATTGAAGCTATCTGATTGACTAATTAAATATGATTATTTTGATGATGTGTCAGGCCTTAGCATCCTCAAAATCTTCTCTTTTTATATAAATAAAAGAGATTATATTAAAGTTTTCCAAATATAAAAACAAATAAACATATCCAATCAATGTTTAAAATATATAAGATATAATACTGATCCATATATAGTGATATAACATTCTAAATCAAAATTAAACCAACAAGAAAAATAATAGATATGTATTTGCTTAAACCAATCATATTGTCAACGAT